AGGTTCCAGGAACCTCTAGGAACCTTTTGGGGTTCCTCCTTCATGACCAGGTTTCTATAGACATCCCCAGGGCTCCTTTGGGTTCTCCTGGTTCTGATAGAGAACCTTCAGAACCGAGCTCTCGTCTGTTTTCTGATCTTTTCTTCCTTTTCCAACCGAACGGTCGAACCAGAGAGACTCTAAAACTGCCTCCGGCTTCAGGAGCCGCTGCTGTTTTCTGTTTCCTCGTTTTATTGTAAATCTTCTCAAACATCTCGCCTCCCCCCTTCCTCCCCCCTTCCTCCTCCTCCTCCCCCTCCAGCCGGCTGGCGTGAAGCAGAACAAATGGCTTCGTGTCACTGATTTAACAGCTGAATCTCTCCGACGCCTGACCGCTCAGCTTAATGAAACGCCACCAGACCTCCGCCTCCACTCATTTACCCTCCGGCCGGGCAGCCCCGAGGCCCCCCGGGGCCGAACCGGCCCCCCGGGCCCCGCCGCCGCTAAATGAGATTGGAGAGGAGGCGAGTAGGGGGGGAGTAAAACCTCGTCTGTCCGGGAGAAAAGTAAACTTTTCCAAAATGAAGAAAAATGAGGCTATTTTCGGACGTCTCGGCGTTTCTCAGACGTTTTTTTTTTTTTTTGCTGCCGTCGAAGTTGCTCCACGAATAAAACAGCTTCATTAAACCTGATGGGAGGAGGGGGAGGAGGGGGGGAGGAGAGCTGTGATTGGATTAAAGAATCAACGGAAAACAAACGAATCAGGAGGCGGAAGACAAGAAAAGTTAATTAGAGACAGAAGAGACTGCAGCCGTTAACAAGTCCTGCTGGAACAACACATCATTTATTTTGAAAAGCCAGCATGCATCACAAACCCTCATCAGCAGCTTTTGACATCTTTGAGCTTTTATTTTGAAAGTGTCTCAGTCAGCCAATCAGCTGTGAGTCCCAGGAACAAACCAGCTCTGAACCTATCCGTCCTATTACAATAGTTCTTTCACCGTTTGCAGCAGAACCTTCCTGAGAACATTCTGGTGTGTTTTCATGTCCGTGTTTATACAGATGTGGCAGCAGGTCAGACAGACTCTGGTTCTGGTTCCGCCAGCATCGTAGAGCTCAGGTATAATGGGAGTCACTGAGGGTTCTGGTGGACCTGCTGAGCTCTGATGTGATTTATGGAAAACCATCAGTCCTGCAGCGATGAGACTCACACCGGGGGGAAGAGATCGGTCACGTAGGATGAAATGAGACGAGGTCCACTGGACTTTCTCCCAAAAAACTTTTCTGGTCAAACTTCTGAATCGACGACGTCACACAGAAAGTTCAGAAAACTCATCAAACTTAAACTGCGACTGCGTTAAAACCGTAAAAGACATTAAAACGTGGATTTAAACAAATCACACTGAAAGCCTTGTGAGCCGTTTAGACTTTGAACCACGTTTCTGCTGTGAAATCCTCCAGAGCTACAGGGTTCTGAAGGCGGCTGGTTCTGGAGGTTGACCGGCCGACTTCCCGTTCATCTCAATGGGGACTTTTAACGCAAAAAAAAAACTTTACGACGAATCGCAACCAAGAGTCACAACAGACCACAAACTGAGCTGTAGAGTCTGTGTCTGAAGAATCTGTAAGAAGAACCCAAAGGAAAAC